TTAGCGGTGCGACGCTGTCTGAAGACGAGGCGATGCTCTACTCTAAGCTGAATTATGACATGGGCCGACAGAGCCTCGAATCCGGCCACGAGAAGGCCTGGACGCCTAGATTTGCTCGGAGAGGTGCTTCGAACGCCGCAAATGGTATGCCCAAGCTCACACATGCCACCAAAATCTTTAATGCTAAAACTTATCTTACTAGGAGATGCAACGGATTCGGTCCGCGACCAGATGATGCGGCATGAGCCTGGGTTTAAAACATTTTTCAGTGCGTATCTGAATGAGATTGCCAACTTTGATCTCCAGAACGCCTTCTTGGAGGAGGAAAAGCAAAGCCAACTGTTCCGCATGTTTGCACATGTAAGCTTGACCCGCGACCCTCGTGCCGTAAGGGATATGGTGCCTGAGAAGGTATGGGCGAATCAGCCGCCGGACCCTGAGATTGTGCAGTTGGAGGAGGAGCGCACAATGCTTAAGCAGGGACGGTATCGAATCGATGGTAGTGACCATGAAGACAGAATCCGAGCACTCACGGACGAGATCAGAAATAAGAGGACACAAAACGAAAGGAGGGTCGTGAAAGAATATCGCGAATACTATTTCTACAACCTTCCCACCTGGGACATCGAGGCCCAAGCCCGCGAGGAGGTGGAAGAGGAATATGAGCAGCCGACAATCGACCTCGTTATACCGGAGCGGGCTAGACTAGCCAACATTTTTTGTCTGCAACCTGACGGCTCGACGGGAAAAGAGCTGTTCCAACGCAGAGTTGAGGCTATCGACTTGATGGTGGCTCTATGCGATAAGAAGGAAACAGGCAGAACTAGACGCGGGCAACGGCCAGCCAGGGTCGAGGCTTCCATCAAGCAAGAGTCGCCGGAAAGTGACGCACCGTCGGAACTAGATTTCGGGCCAGATCCCTTCCCGCTTCTTATGGAGGTAACGCAGTGCCCAGACTGCATTGGTGACGAGCAGCTGTCAGTTGAGGCGCGAAAGTTTAAATGGTGCCGTCCGCCGGTACTTAACGACCACTTCGATGACGAGCACTTGGCTCGCCGAAAGATTGCTGCGCAACGTGGTGAGGCAATTTTGTGTGGCCATCCGAAATGCAGGCAGGAGAAATTTGACCACGTGGATCATTTCCGAAGTCATGTTGAGCAAGTCCATGGGGTAAGTCTCAGGACTTCGGACCAGGTCGCAAAGAGAAGACAAAGGCAGGCGGAGCGCCGTGAAAAGAAACGCAGAGGACGGCAGCAGAAGAAAGCTGCACAGAGAGCAGCCGCCGAGAAGTGGCCCAGCTGCTTGTACTTGTATTATATAATGTCATCATTTTCGACTAGTTCCGACCGCATGCTTTGCATGTGGGTAAATTTTTATACACGCTGAAGATCATAAATCTTCAGCGGTGGATGTGCAATAAGCCGTCGCATCGATGAACTCTGCGTTCAGTCAGACCCAGCTCCTCCTGACCGCCGCCGCCAAGCTGTTAGACTTTGGTTGAGTTTCTTTTTGGCTACTGCCGCCGCAGGGTGACTTGCGCCCATTCTTGACAGCAAAAGCCGGGCCTGGACCACCGTCGAAACTTTTATCTGTAACGGTGCTGTCGTCTCGGGAGGGAAGAAGCCGCCTACTTGCAAGTTTGATGGATGGGGTTGCTGCGGACTGATTGCTGCCATGGGACGCAGTTGTACAAAGTCCATGTCTGCTTTTCTATCTTCGATAGCGAGGCCAAAGAGTCCAGAAGCGCATACAAAGTACGGGACCAAAGCTGGCACGCGCTGTAGTGTAAAGAGATCGTCATAGGACTGGGCAAGGGTAATGATAGACTGTACGGCTTGCACACACACCTCGTGAGGCTGGACCTCAGAAGAGGCAAAGTCGAAACCGACAATTGGTCGAAAGGTGCAGAGAATACAAAAATGGTAGTACATGCTACGCGACGTCGTCAGCATGCTCAATCAAGTCACGATAATGGCAGCTTACTGAATAAAGAGAATAAATGGACTCCGGCTGCTGCCGTTTCCAACGAGCTCGAATATCTCGCGGTACCACTCGAGACATTTGTGGTATGTTGCAATGATGTACCGTTTTATCGATGGAGAGGCTCTTCGTTTCGCAACGATGACCTTGTACACCAGTTCTGTGAGCTGAAACATTTTGGCAATGAGATCGTGGGGGTTTTCAGGCTGGAAGTTTATCGCAGTAGAAAGATCTGAAAGAAAATAACGTTGGCTTCTATTGGTTTCTCCAAATGCAGCACCGGCTTACCTGGACGCATTGTACCTGCTCCTGCATCATTGCATGGGAGTTGGTCCAGTATCAAGGAATCTTCCAAAGTGCTTCCAGCTTCGTTGAACAGCACCCCAGTGGTCAGATCAAACATCCTAGCATGTAGATTAGTCATGGCTGGACGCCCTGAAGTAGCAGAGGCGAATCCCTGAAACACACCTAAGAAGCGATATTGCGCCATCGTACGTTGTCACTCGAACCTTGACATATAGCTCATCCAATTCACTTACATCGCACTCTCTAAGGCACAATGAGCGGATGCCCGCGGTGCACAATTCGGCCAGCTCTCTTGCTTCGTTCTCGGGGCCACATCGAATGTGATAAAGGGCCAGTATACCCAGAGACTGAATGTCCGGCAAGCTCTGGCCCGATCCTTGTTCTAGAAGCAGAGCTTTGGCCTTGCGCAGGAAATACTTGCTTCCGAGCCAGCCAGAGGGCAAATGGTAGGAGTCATCCTCTCTCTCGTTGGCCAGCCTCGTAGAGAGCGCCAATAATGCGTGTACCAAAGCTGAGGAGCAAAAGCGGGAAGAACCGGCATCATAGTCTTGCAGAAACTCGTTCTTGCGCAGAATATAAAAAGAGACACTGTCCCAAGTGAAAACGACGTCGAACAAGTGCCGGATGTGTGCGCAAGTCCACCCTACCTGCGTCCACCTGTCTGTCTGCGCCAGCGTCGCATATGCATCAAGCGGTGCCAATGGAAGTGACAGCTCACGATATGAGGGTGGCCATGAAGATGACGCCGACGCGTTACTCTGCTGGAACGTAGGATGGCAAGATCGCCAGGAGAGCAGCTGGTCAAAGCAGGACGAAGCTGTCAGCGGGATCCCTCCTGACATCGAACCAGACAAGAATGCGGCTCGATCCCCTCCCGGCAGCACAAAAGGACCCTTCTCCAAATTAGACCATTTGACGGCATCGAAACAGCCCTGCAGCGCGGCGCTATCGTTCGTCGTGGCGCTGCTGCCCTGGTCCTGAGCCCGCTGCGACTTGGCATCTTCCAGACGCTGCCTCAGTCTTCCAATCTCAGCGCGCAGTTCGCTCTTTGATACCCTTTCGCAGCGCTTGTACTCGCAGATTTCGCCCTGTCGCTCGCATCGCTTGCAGGGCTGTTCTCCGTTGCACTGAGCGGGAAATCAGGTGTCAGCGTCATACATACAACTATGAGATGGCATCAATTGCAATGGTAGGACAATATTCGCAGAAAAGGGAGCTGGTGGCGGGCGGGGCGTCTGTTTGCGCGTAAGCAAGGCGGGATGAGAGGACGCACCTTTTCTCGTTTCTGGCGGCAGCGCTGGCACGCGGTTTTAACTTGCCGACGACTGGACATAATCTGCGAGCCAAAACGCTGTGATATGATCATGTCGGATGAAGTTTGCGGGGCATTATCTGTGGAGCGGAGAAGAAAGACATGCCACTATTACAGTGGAAACGTGTGACGGCCCGTTGCGCTGCTGTGTTGGCGGTGCATGACGACATACCCGCCGTAAGATTAGTGTACCCCGCACTTGCAGGGACCCTTTTTCGGTGAAGCATGAGTCCCATGTTTTAGAAAGTAAAATAGCTAATCAATAGTATTATAATAGAAGGGTTAATATCTAGTGGCTTACTAGGTATACATAGAGTAGAATAGTACGTTAGTAATTGATCTACTAAAAAGGCTAACAAAATGTACCTTAGGTCACCAGTCCTCAGTACTCGGAAAACTCAAGATCAGGGCATTACTGATAAACTGCGATGTCGATCCCGCAGACACTGCCCGCACTAGCCATTGCCCGGATGTGGATGCTTTGTTCAGCACTTTATTGACAATAAATATGCTGACCCTGAAATTGTGTAACTTTCCGTTCGGTACATATCACACAAAGAGGGTTCCAGTGTGTAAGGCATGAGTGAGACATCAAGCCCTCAAAGTGATGACCCTGCGTGTGGACATTGCAGTCCGGAGCTCTCTCCGAGCCGCCCAATTGGCCATGCCACAGCGTTTCCTCCTCAAAACCTTCCAAAACTGTATAATAATTGCTGTCAAAAGTGAAAAGTGATGCCATTTCCTTCTCAATCTGTGCAAAGCGAAGCCACAACTTACGTAACGCTTGTTTTCTGCCGTTGTATAAGTAGACTGCCATCCCTCACCACTTCAATCCAAGATGCCCTCCTCTCTTGAAGCTCTTGAAGCGAACAGAAAATGTCTCCAGCTCGAGGCTCACTACCAAAGACTTTTGCCCAGACGATCGGGTGAAGAAGAGCTACGACCAAAGGCACCGCCACCCCGCAGACGCCGGCTAGTAAGCAATGCTTGCAACAGTACGTAGCCTCACGCTATGGATTGTTACTGCAAACTGACTCGAAACCACAGGCTGTAGGACACGAAAAACCAAGGTAGGAGTCAGCGCGCTCGCCAGTCAAGGAAAGCAGGCGGGCTTGAATCATTTTCGATGAGCGTACAATCGAGCACGAGACCAGCGCTGATGTCAAAGAGCATAGTGTGATAGCGCCCGGCCACAGTGCCGCCAATGTGCCAGAAGAAACTGGCCCTGTGTCTACACTGCTCCGCCTGGTGTCC